ACGGCGTCTACAGGATATTCAGCCATTGTATTATGAATTGTTACCTGTTCATGCTCATGTTGCACATCAAGTCGATCACTGGCGTACTCATTTCCATATTCCCCTTCGTCGTCTCCTTCTCCCATGTCAGTCATTGGACGATATGATTCATCACTATCTTCATCCACATTTTCACTTCCATTCCACAAGACAGGCACATCCCAATCATATGCCCTATCATCTCCCAAATTACAAGGAACAACATCTAACCCTAACGATGTGAGAGATGCTATATCATGACCAATATGACCAAAGTAGGGGGTGGTGGGCGGGAAGAAGAGGAGTTCGACGACGAGGACGGAACTGACGGACTTGAAAATGAAGGTCTCGGAAATAAAGGTTTTGCAAATGGGGGGGCACAAGCTGAGGGAATAGGAACATTGGGCACGTGTTGGCCTAAATAATATGGGAAAGAAGGCATGTACGGTTCATTCTGATGTACCTTATTTGGCACGGTAGATATGTATAGCGGCAATTCAGAGACATCTTCACCAGTCAAGAAGAAAGTCAGGTCATCGTCGTCAGTTATTTTCATTACACAAACCTTCGCCTTAAAATTATATACACGTCTAATTATGATATCTTCCTGTAATGGATTTATACTACTTAGCCTACATACATGTCCTAGAAATTCAGCATAGGTGATTTTACTATCCACAGTCAATCCTCTTGTACGACCACCCACGTAATCCTTTTCAATATCTTTCCATTCTCCACCGAATGATATAAAAACACGAGGCATCCTGCAAATAGACCAAAACACTATAATTAAATACAAATCAATAAATTTACAAACAAACAAGAAAAATTCAAGATTTATATTGCATGGTCTCGGTCCCTATCCCGGTCCCGGTCCCAGTCCCTATCCCGGTCCCAATCCCTATCCCGATCCCAATCCCTATCCCGGTCTACCCCAGTTTATCCCCATCTCGATCCCGGTGCCGGTCGTATCTGGACATGAAGGACCGGGCTTGAGTTTACCTTCTATCTCGGTCTCAAACCCGGTTCTAAATTTCATCCCAGTACCAATCCCGGTCCAAGATAAATTCTAGACTTCATTTCTGTTTTCCGTAAAATAACGTTTTTTTCTAGAAAAATGATAAAATTTCGTATCATTACAAGTTTGAAGAAGTACAATATTCTAAAATGATGAAATGGACATACCTATATTGTGAAAACAATGGATTCGAGATAACGGATTATGTGGGGACCGATCGATTGGATAATGTGGGCCAATAATCACGTGGAGAAAATCTTGAGTATTGGAAAAAAAAAATGTGACTTGCGTGTGTGTGGTGATTTGGAGTTGAAAAAACAAAGTGAGAATTGTTAAGTTGGTGGTTGGTGGGTTGGTTGGAAATTTATTATATCATAAATGCATTTATTATGAAATGAGGGCAATTTAGTCAATTTACATGATAAAATAAGAGGAGGGGTCAGAAATCTGAGGTGAAGAGGTCATGAATAAGTAAAAAACAAAAGGRGGTCAAAAATCCAGAGTGGTTATTGAAAGGGGTCAAAATCCCAATTTCCCCATAGATTAGTTTTTTTTTTAAATGGGGTCATAAATCCAAAGTTAATTATGGGAGGGGTCAAAATTTCAAATTTCCCTTTGCCTCGGAAGTGAAGTATCAAGGTGGGTAAAAATGTCTCGTCTTAATTTTATGAAAAATTGATACAAATACCAATAACATATTGATGTCAATGAATTTTGATTTAAAATAAAAATCATGGAAGTCTAAAAGCATATAACAATTATTTGAATGAACTTTTGAACTTCTTGGATAAGTTCTAAAGACAATTTTTCTTTGTTTCAAAACTATCATTTTTTATTATATTTCTAGTACTATAGAGTAGGGGATTGAACCACCCGCCTCAAAAAGGTATTTAGTATTTTATACCATGAGTTATGGTTTCACTATGTAAAAAATAATAATAATAATAAAAAAATAAAATTACTGACATTTCTTTAATATTGCAAAAATACTAATTGGCATCTAATATTATCAATATGAAAATCTTTCCACTTATAAAAAATATCAATGAAAATATCAACATGTTGTTAAGAATTTTGACTCGGTATCTAGAATGACGAAATGACAAAGCTACCCCCAATTTGAAGAGAGAGAGAGAGTCGACACATGTACGTCGGTCGAAATGACAAAACTACCCTCAATTGGAGATGGGAATATATGTATGTGTGTGTGTGTGTAGGGAGAGATGGAGGGACATGGGACCCTTGACCTTATCATAAATGAGGGCAGCAAGGAATATGGAGGATCCCTTTCACCTTATGAAGAAGAGAAGTAAGTTCCAAATTACAGGGCACCATGCCCTACACCCCTTTTCCCACCAAAACTTTAGGCAGTGGCTGGATAGAAAGAGACAAACTCCCACCAAGAATATGACTGCACTCTCCCATAAACTTTGTCCTCTAATTTGGATTAACCTTTGTTTTGGGGCATATAGCCCTCCAAATCAAGGACCACCTGCCCTCCTGCACCTCCCTCCCCCCTTTATTAACTGCTTGGTTTTCCACCCCTCATATCAGCTTTTTACTTCACTTCTATCAAGAACTGTCATACAAACCAAAACTTTTTTTCAAAGAATCATTCTTTTACCTCTATATTTTAGTACATGAGAATCTCTGTCTCCCTGTGTAGATTTTGAATTTGAAAATTTTCTACAGTGCTTCCACAAGTATTACATGGCCTAAGAGAATCTGCCATAACCAAATAAACAATCAACAAAAGCTTCAAACCTTTTTATAAATGGGTAAACAAAAAATTACAGATCCACCACAATGATTTCCTTCATGGTTTGCAAATTACCACAAAACATGGAAGCAAAGCTCTAGGATTCAGCAAATAAAGTTCTTCTATATTAGAATGCAGCCCAACTTTCCCTGCCAATGAATCAAACCCTGTCTGCCCAGCCATTTCTTGTATGTTCTCCAATGGCCTGTGAACTCTCCCAGCAATCACCCTGCATACTATCATCGCCTTCCTCGCCACCACCTCGTCCCCTCCCGATGCCTCGATCGAGCTGAATGCTCTTGCGCTCGTCGAAGTTGTGAAAACTCCAATCCCTTCCTTCATCTCGGTCTTTGCCGAGAACCCGTTTCGTATGATCCTGCAGACGCAGCATTTCTCCGATATGCAGAGGCTGGAGGAGCCATTCAGGCCGAGCGAGCATGCGACCGTGGTGCCGTAGAATCGCAGGAGCTCATTCCCGTCGGCGAGGCACCGAGGGTGCTTCTTCGGGAGCTTGCTGGCTTTGGTTTTAACCGTCTCGCGATACTCCTCGAACCGGGCTAGCGTTCGCTGCATGTTGTGGACTTTCAGCACTCTTTCTATTCTACCAGTTTGATTCTCGGACTTTAACCAGCTTGTTCTGCATATGATCTCCACAATTTTCCTTGATGAATCTCCTTCCACAAGCTCAGTCACTGAAATTTGAAAATGGAAGAGCATAGATGTAAAATAACTATCCATTTAGACATTGCATGACAGAGTTCAGACCAAGCACAAATTTCTATTCAATCCAAAAGCTTAAAATTTGAAAAGCCAAAGTAAATTAGGGACTAAAGTGAAAAAAATGAGATTACAAGGATAAAAACGTAATAAAATTACCAGGAATGCAATGATAATTTAACCATAATCAATCAAATTTAGCATCAGAAGTTTCAAAGCAACAACAGGGGAGAATGAAGTCAACTGGGTTAGGAAAACACCAGAATCCAGAAATCTAGACAGAAGATGAACATTCTTTCCCAGTAGCCAAACAGAAAATTTTCCAGGAAAATGAAAATTGAATCAAGAAAATTTGGTTCTGTACCAGCATGTTTAGAGAGATGATGAGCTTCAGCAGCCTCCCATTTGTTGAACTGCTCTCCACATTTATGGCAAGTAACCACAGAAGAAGACCCATTCCCACCAATCTCCGTCTCCAAAGAGATTCTATTGCTCGAATTAACTCCACCACCGCCACCCCCGCCGCCGCCGCCGCCGCTGCCGGATTTATTAGAGCTTCCAAAACCCTCTCTAAAGGGGAACTTTCTGGAAGGAGTCCTAAAGTAATGCATAGTGGGGTGGCCACCGGGGCCGGGGGTACCCGGTGTCAGAGTACCCACAAAGGTGGAACCGCCGTTAGCGCCACCATGACCATCGGCGGCGGCGGTGCCGGCAGCCACATCTTGTAAACCGCCATGAAAGCCGGTGATTTTGAGCTCGCACCTAGAGTTACTGAGAATGACTTCGTGGGTTATTGGGTTAAGAAACTCACTACTCCCAATGGATCTTGGGCTGCAACTTGGGGGTTTCTCCAAATGCCTCCTGCTTCCGCCATGGATGACATCTTTGAGATTCGCTATGGACCTCGAACACCCTGATCTTCCTCCTCCCCCTGTTTTTCTTGTCAAAATTGCTCCCAAATTCTTCCTGCTTTTTGGGTCATGAACTTCCGATGGCTCTGATTTGCAATGCAAAGATTTCTTCAAAGACAACCAAACCGTTGGCATATTTCCCCCCCTCCCCCTCCCCTTCCTCTCAGTTTCTTCAAAGATAACAAAACCCCATTTCTTCAGAGATAACAAAACCCCATTTCCTCAGAAGGCAACCCCATTCTCTAAAACTTCAAAGAAATGGACTTTTCTTGGATGGGAACTGAAATTTTGGGGCATTTTGGAGAGAGAATTTGGAGGAACTGAAAAAGAAAAACCATTGAGCTAAAGGAAAACACCTTTCATATGGCCCAAAAGGAAAAACAGGGGAATAAAATTTAATATTTGTATATATATGAGAGAGAGGTGGGAAAGGGAAAGGAAAAGACTTTTTTGATTGCTTGGAAAAATGACAGCCAAAACAAACCCCAAGAACCTTGATCAGTGAAACTAATAAATGTTACTGAGGAAAGGGAAGAGAAAGATCCCCAAATGGGACAACCTGAAGGGGGGTTTTGATGGGCATTCATTGCCTTTTATCTGATTTTGAATTATTGGGGGCTGTTTTTTTCCTTTCATAGGTTAAAAAAATCTGTTCTTTTCTGAAAGATTTTCTGTGGGTGAGATTTAAGAACCAAGAGATGTTGTTGTTGACTGATGGGTTAAGCTCATTTTTCCAAATTTTAGCTTTATTTATGATATATGTAATATGGAGTATTGATTTGTAAATGTATGGTGGGGAGTGGGATAATAAATTCTTAAACTGTACTCTTCACTTTCAAGTGTAGGGAGCTGGTTCCCACTTCCAAAGGACATGTTCTACCAATACCAATGAGACAATTTTTGAATATGAAAAAGAGATGTTGTATGCATATTTCTTGGCCTCAAAGTGATTTTGTCATCTTCTTACAAAACATCAAATCAAATGAGAATGACTTTTGAACCAAGTAATTGATTAGATTATACAAAGTACCTTGAGATCTTTTCGTTAGTTTCTCCTTCAAAATAAAGAAAGAAATATGATACGGTGATGAATTATAAAAACGGAGGCTATGCATTAGCACCTGTGCTAGTGAGATAAAGGAAAATCGAGGAGATTTAGTAAAAAGGAAGAACATTTGAGGGTTTGGATTTTAGCCAAAATAGCATCGTCTAAGAAAAAAGTGATACACGGTGAAAATTATCTCTGTGAGAGAAAATTATAGGAAAATGAAGTCAGAGAAAATTAGCATGAATTCTTGGAAGCTAAAACACAACAAAGAAAATGGTTGATTGATGAAAGTATATAATTTTTATCCTCAAATGTAAGAAGCATATTAATGGTTAGGGTAGGTTTGATTGTCTTTTTGTTTCTTTGTTTATTACTTTTCTCTTCTTAATTCACGACTTATCCCTAATTTTTGTCAATTTATTGTGAGAGAAATACTTCAAATTTTAACTTTTTTTTATGGTCGACTTACCTCTATAAAAAAGTTACTCCCTCTTTTCTCTTCTTAATTCATGACTTAACCTTAATCCTTAAAAATCTGCCTTCTCTAAATGATGTCACTCTCACCCCTCACACCATATTTTCATCTCCATTTTAAGAAGAGAGTTTAATAGAATAACAATGAGACTTTTAAAGGATAGAAATATAACCAAAACTTACTCCAATGGGTCATCTTGTATAATTAAACATTTTTCTATAGTTCATTGTCTTTGTTGTCATGTCACTAATTTTATTGAAGTTGTTATGGGTAAGATTATCCTACAAACCTCACATGAATTGAAGTTAGGCAACTGACGTAGATTTAACCACCTGTGTCAAACATCTCAGGTCGGGCCACTCAACCAAACCAAACTCAAGCCAACTGGACCCGATCGAGCCGGTTCACCATAACCAACTCAAGGAGACTTCTTCTATAAATAAGAAGAGAGACCTCGAGCATGAGGTATGCTCCATGCTCTTATAACTCGACTTTTTTCTTCTCTCAATAAAATCCTTTGTTGATTTAGGTATCATAATGTGTTGGGATTAGCACCACACTAATGTGCAGATTTCTTCGTGTACAGGTACTAGAGCTATTGACACGAGAGATCGGAACCAAATTCCTGCATCAATAGAAGCTAATAAAAAAAAATTGTTTTTAAACAAGTTGAAATGTCGAAACGAAATTTTTGAAACAATAGGATATAATTCATATCTAAGTTTAAGGGATACTTTGTACTTATAACATACTCCCAACAAAAATAAATAAATAAATAAATACTTCTAGTCCATGCATTTTGAATATAAGCATTTTAGTAAAACAAAAAAGTTCAAATAACAAATTATTTTGATATTTAGTTCATTACCATTAAAATCTTTTTTAATAATTTTTTAGTCAAGCACTTGCACTCTTCAAAAATGCTTTCTAAAAATACTTTTAAACACTTTTAACTTACCTAAATTACTTTTGTCAATTTTATGTTACTTTCAAATGTTCGAAAAAGTATTCTCAAGTGTAAGATTAATTGAGAAGGTTGCATTTTCAATCTTTATAAATTAAATTTATACGGAAGGTAAGGTGTGAGGATTTAGATTTATGATTGAAATTTTATTAATATCTTATTTTACTTATGCTTTGTTTGATCTCATTGAACTTGTTTAGTATATACTTCTTTATATTATACTTTATATTTTAGAAAGATATTCAATATAATAGTTAATTCTCGCCTAAGCGTGCATAGTTCAGTAATTGATATATATCTCTAACTAAAAAGTTATGAGTTCGATCCTCCACCTCCACATACTGTACTTAAAAAAAACATTATATATATATATATATATATATATGATCCTCCACCTCCACATACTGTACTTAAAAAAAACATTATATATATATATATATATATAGTCTTGGAAATTTTGTTTCTATTCGTAAATTTTAGTTAATAATTTTGAAAAAGATAAAAGAGAAACATAACACAACAATGATTTGAATGATGAAGAATCTTACCCATTTTTAGAAACAAACACCATCAATTGGAAGTTAATAGTTTCATTGTCTATGATATTATATGATTGTCGATGTATAGGAATTTGAATCGGTGTTCTGACGAAGAAAATTCTAATAAATCTGCATATTGATGTGTGGTGTTAAATCCAACACACTTTAATACTTAAATTAGTAAAAAAATTTGTTGAGAGCAGCAACGCTTTTTTAGAACCTCTCTTGTGTCTCCAAGTTTCTCCTCTTATTTATAGAAGGAGTCTCACTTGATTAGTTTGGATGGATAGTTTGGATCAGCTTGAGTTTAGTCTAGTGGGGGTCTAGCGTGGACAATTTGATTTGGGTGGCTCAACCCATGTCACTTCGCTAGCTAGTTCCAATTCATGTGAACTTGGTTAGGTAATTTCACCTATAATAATAATATTTTATTTCTTTTTTTCAATTATTTTTGTTTTTTACCAATTATTATATTTATCTCAAAACTTTAATTTGATTTCTAATTAATTCCCAAAATTTAAAACTTGCTATATGAAATCAAATTTTAGTAGGTTTCAAATTCAATATTTATCCTTAAAAAGAAGAGTGACTATTTATTATTTTGTTGTTCCGTATAAATGAACTTTAAAAAATCAAAATTTTGTAACTAGGATCGATTTTGTAGTGGAGAGGACCGAGCCTTCAATCTCAATTTAGATGTGGCAATGTTGTCGATATTGTCATCTTCGTACACATGCAGTATTTCTTTTTTTGTAAAATCATCATAAATTTTTTTATTACAATATATTTTGGAGGTGAAAATTCAAACTTACCATTATCAGAGATAAGTGTATTTACCATTTGAGCTAATCCATCGTAAACTATTAATTATACATAAACGTTACTTTTTTCATACATTTCTCAATAACAATTAATTTTTTTAATTAGAATAACATTGATGAATTTGAAACAAGGGACCAAAATGTATAATTCTTTCAAACGTCTTGGGGGTTAAATTAAAAAGTAGATAAATTTGAAGGACTAAACTATACTAGTCTAACCATATGCTAACTATTTTTTTAGCATTTAAAATTAAGAATAACTTTTATCTTAAAAGAGTAAAAAAAGACAAATATATGCCACACAATTTTGTGTATTTGTCTCATTAGGAAGAATGTGATTGGGACCACTTATTATTATTATTTTGCTATACATGTTGTGGGCACTATTTTCTCAAACAACATCCAAACTACAAATTGACAATCAGAAAATGTTTATTTTTTTTAATTTAATTTTTTATTTTAAAAAGTTATGGGTCAAAATTGTTCCAACTCAAACTCACATGGGTATTTAATGAGTCACTCTCACCCCCCATTATTCTAATGGAAAACATAATTAAAAGAAATTAAGCATAACAACTTAGGATGTCGAAAATTAAGCATATTAAATTACGAACAAGTCATATATTTTTATTCTAAAAATACCCAATAAAAATCAATTAATGTTAGTTCAAGTCATGTGTTAGAATATTTTAAATACTTTGACATTTTAGGATGCATTGTAACGGGGAATTATTCAACTTGTTTAATTGATTTGTAATTTTGGGAATGACTAGTTTCAACTTGTTTAGGATCAGATAGGATAGGACAAGAAAATCAACAAATATTGTAGGATCAGATAGCTAAAGATTAGTCGAGGGGCGCGTATATTAAGTCGAACACAGAAAATTGATAAAACTTAAAGTATAAGGTTAAAATCAATCTTTTGCTTGGTTTAATTGGGGAATGATGGAAAAATGATAATAATTGTTTGGTGGAGGAAAAAAAAAAAGAAAAGAAAAAACTTACTTTTGGGGGGTGGGGTAAAGAAAAGAGGTAGGTTCATAATGAGCATGGAGCAGCAATCTCAATGTTACTTTATTTTCAGTGTAAATCAAATCTCAAAGCCCCAAAAGAAGTTTAATTAGTAATAATTAGATAGGTAAAACTTCCTTAAGCTTACTTGCTTTCTAAATCCACTTATTATACATTAAAAAACAAGCAATTTTCTGGTTTATATATCAGAATTCAAAAATTCTTGATATTCTCAAAATCCATTCTTTAAATATATTTATTTATTTCACTCTTTTTCAACCTTGGCATGCCCATGCCACTTTTTCTATTTAAAGATATATTTTGAGAGTAAAGAGAGTTTTATTCCATTTTTGTCCATATCCCACCAATCATATAATTAGATGCTCCTAAGTAAGAGGTTGTGTTCTTCATCTTTTTGTAATTGAGTATTGTTTGTTCTTTAAATAATTCACTCGATCTTCCAAAACTTTGATCTTATGACTAGATGGCGTTGAAATATTTAGATAGAAGTTTAGGGCTTGTTTGGTAACGTTTATGGCTTTTGTTTCTCGTTTTTAATTTTCTTAAGCATTTTGCAACTAACTATGTTTCTTATTTTTCCTTTTTTTTTGGAACATTCTCAAAATTGTATGGAAAGTTTGGAAATA